TATTCTAAATCATGGCGTGGCAGCCTTTTACACAAAGTATTAATACAGTCTTCTTACTGTGACAAAAAAAAAAAAAAAAAAAAAAAAAAACCAACACCGAAAATAAAACAGTAACTCCAGACGATATAACTTGACCTCATAATTAACGGATTCAGATAATGTGTAACTAATGATACTTTAGCCCCAGGCTCAAACGGCTATATATAATATTTTAAAAGAAAAAGAACGTAATAAACGAACGTAATAGATAAACCCCGTGCATACTTTAAGCTTCAACAGCTTGTACCCCACCAAATGGCTTTTGGTACCATTATAAACTTTACAGTATATAAGGAGTTCTTTTTTAAGAAAACGAATTAATTAACTTTTGAACTATTCCTCTTCTTTTTTTTTCTTTTCCTTTCACTGTTAACGACCGGCTTAAGGTAACCGTAAAAGGGCATTATTTATTTTCCCCTTTTAATTTCTCTCAAAACAGAGTCTAGATATAAAATTTACAGTTGATTTAAAGACCTCGCTGGTGTCTAAAACTGGCTGGGGACGAGACTTTTCTAAATAAAAGAACAACGTCCCGCCCACCTGCCGTCATAGACAGTGACCACAAGCAGCCGGTGACGAGATCTAATTATTGCTTCACAAGGCACTAACGTTAATCCTCCTGCTAAGATTGTAAGATTACATGGATATTTACTATTAAAGGGGGGAGCAGAAACAAATCGACAATTATGTTGTATATTTCAGATGCCATTTATCTCGATCAACTGAAATGTCTAGGACCAGCTGGAGACGAGACTTGTCTCAAAACACGTCCCGCCCTCCTGCTGCCGCAAAGACCATTCAGCCAATCAGCATGTCCGGCGTTGGTGACCACGAGAAGCCGGTGACGAAAAGAAACAAAAGAAACACTTTCGCCCTCCAGCTCTCGCGGACCAATCATAGCTGAGGAAGCCTCTCACGTGTTCATGGCTATTGATTAGTTGGATTACTTTGCTCACCAAATGGAAAAGGAAAGAGAAATGCGATGTACATGTATGTATTAAGTTACACACACAGACACACACACATGCACACCAAACCACTCCCCCTCTCCATTTGTAAATATCTTTAAAAGGAACCCGTTCTATAATTTGCGTTGTACAGTGTTCACATTCCTCTAATGACACATTTTAAAGATTAAGTAACAAGCTAGACATCTCGTGGAATGCAATAAGGCAAACCTATGCCTACATTAGTACAAATTGGCGGGTACTATTTTCTCTTTACATTCATGAGTTTTGACTGGTGCTTTAAATTGCATGGTACTTCCAACCAGATTATATCTCATGGAATGTCACAAGGCTTACATTCTTGAGTCTTAAAATCTATACCTCCAAGTACGATATGGCGGGGAATTTTTTTTCTTCACTTTACATTCCTGAATTTTCGACGTTTGGAGAATTCGTTAATGCAAAAACAAAAGTTCTCACAACAATTCTTTTCCACAATACACATATCAAGGGATTGAACTTTAATATAATTACAGTTTTTGTAATGCATATTTCCAGCTGGAGTAAATACATCTCTAAACCCACCAAGGTTGCATAGATTTCCACTCAATGATAGAGACTAAGGGGGAGTAATAACATCTTCCTTCCGTTAACCCTGACTTTCATTCTCAGATCCATACCTCAATTGTTGATGAGGCATTCCTATTCACCCATAGCTTTAAAATGTATACGCAGTTCAAAAGAGAAATTTTCATCTTAAGTTCAGATCTTCTTTTCATTATCTGTTACATAATCCATTATAATTACCATTTTCTTTCAACGTTCAATGAACACACTTCTCACAACATCAAGGGAATGTCAACGCCCCTTTCTCAATATCAAAGTGAATTTTCCTTCCCAAACGTAGCCCCAGTAAATTAAAGGCACCACAATATTTTCAACTATGTCAAATATGAATGCGTATTTTTATATATCAAGAAATAAGGAGTATAATCCATCTTCGTAAGGAGTTGATAATCCCTCAAATTGCATGAACTGCTAGACACACAGCCTTTTGTCCCTCAAAATGCTGCCCCTGGCATCACTATATGTTATTCATTTATGTGACTGGTGCTTTAAATTACGGTACATGTACTTTCAACCAGATTACATCTCATGGAATGTCACAATGAAGGCTTAAATTCTTGATTCGTAAAATCTATACATACAAATACGATTTGGCGGGAAATGTTTTCACTTTACATTCCTGAATATTTTACCGTTTGGAAAATGTATTTATGCAAAACAAAAGTTCTCACAACAGTTCTTTTCCAAAATGAACATTTCCAGGGATGGTATTTTTAATATAATTACAGTTTTTGTACTGCATACTTCCAGCAGGAGTTAAATACATCTCTAAACACCCCCATGTTGCATATGATTTCCACTCAGTGATGGAGACTAAGGGGAAGTAATGACCTCTTACTTTACCCTGACTTCATTCTCAGATCCATATCTCATTTGTTGATGAGGCATTCCTACTCACCCATAGCTTTAAATTGTATACGCAGTTCAAAAGAGACATTTTCATCTTAGGTTCACAGGTGTGTTCAGATTCTCATTTTCATTATCTGTTACATAATACATTATAATTACCATGTTCTTTCAACGTTCAATAAACACACTTCTCACAACATCAAGGGAATGTCAACGCCCCTTTCTCAATAGCAAAGTGAATTTTCCTTCCCAATCTTAGCCCCAGTAAATAATGGTACCACAATATTTTCAACGATTTCAAATGTGAATGCGTATTTTTATATGAAAAGAAATAAGGAATATAATAGATTTTTATGAGAAGTTGATATTCCCTCAAATTGAAGTTACCAAACAAACTATATACCGGCAGATATAAGAAACTTGCTTTTCATTTCCTCCTTTTACCCCAGACGGATAATTGACACAAGACAACTCAGAAAACATGCTAGTATCAGTTTACCCAGTAAAAAACATACTGAATGCAGAGGAAGTGTCAATACCTTACATGTAAACTAAATAGCATATTTGGCAACAAAAAAAAAAGGAAAGAAGGATTTCCTCTCCCTCTTTTCTTTCATTTCCCTTCACTCGGCTCCTATGTTTGCAAATTCCACCCCACTTTATAAAGCTTCACCTTATGATTTCCCATGAAATTAAAGCAGAGCTAATTGAATAGCTCATTTTTCCACTCGTTCTTCTTTAAAAAACAAACACAAATTCTGACATATTTTTCCTTAAAAAAAAATTAAAAAAAAATTGAAAAAGACTCGGAAACATGCTAGTATCAGTTTACCCAGTAAGAAAATACTGAGTACAGAGGAACGGTCAATATCTTCCATGTAAACACAAACAGCATATTTGGTAAGAAAAAAGAAAGAAAGAAAGAAAGATTTTCTTCCTTCCCTCATTTTCCCTCACTCGGCTTCTATGTTTGCAAATTCCACCCCACTTTATAAAGCTTCACCTTATGTTTTCCCATGAAATTAAAGCATAGCTTGAATAAACAAAAAACACTTCCTTTAAACATGTTAAAAATCATGGCAATACCTCATCGTTTTTTCTTAGTCACTCGTCTCTTTAATTATCATGCTTATTCTTTTTTTCTTTCTTTTCTGGTATACATTTACCTCCATCGTTTCTCATCCAGCGGTGTTACTCTTATCGTTTGTAGTATCTGTTCCCTGCTCCTCCTCTTGGTTATTGACGAACCATACAGTCCTCAACAGCTGGAGTTATGTCCCTTCTTTAAAGATTACCGCTCATGATGTTTGCCTCACCTTGTCCCAATCACAGGACTGGATAAAAATCATACACATGGCTCCTATGTTTGCAAATTCAAGCACACTTTATAGAGCTTCACCTTATGATTTCCCACGAAATTAAAGCAGAGCTTGAATAGCTCATTTTTCCACTCGTTCACGCATCAGCTGTATACGATGACTGGGAAAACTGGATACCTAACAAACCAGACAAATTAAAATCCGCACTTTGCATGGTTTTGTATACTATCAAACTCAGCAATAACAAATTATTGATTCCATGAAAGACCTACTTTCTCCGAATGTTTTCGGCTTAAATGGTGTTGTAACATTAACACTGCACTTTCATGATGATCCTTTATGATTTTGTCGTTATTCACATTTCCATTAAATCATCAAACTATAACTCCATGGCACCGGTGTCTCCCGCCACCACTGTATCTCCCTTTAAGGCTCCCGCTGTAGCTCCCTCAGTGAAACTCGCTGTGGCTGACACGGTGACTCCCGCTGTAGCTCCCGCCATAGCACTCAATGTCGGGATCTTCGTTAACTGTAGCTTCCTTCTAATAGCCCCTTGCTGGCGTTCGAGGTTCCCTTGCTGGCGTTCCAAATTCCCTTGTTTGAATGGTGTCGTAACATTAACACTGCACTTTCATGATGATCCTTTATGATTTTGTCGTTATTCACATTTCCATTAAATCATCAAACTATAACTCCATGGCACCGGTGTCTCCCGCCACCACTGTATCTCCATTCAAGGCTCCCGCTGTAGCTCCCGCTGTAGCTCCCTCAGTGAAACTCGCTGTGGCTGACACGGTGACTCCCGCTGTAGCTCCCGCCATAGCACTCAATGTCGGAATCTTCGTTAACGGTAGCTTCCTTCTAATAGCCCCTTGCTGGCGTTCGAGGTTCCCTTGCTGGCGTTCGAAATTTCCTTGCATCTCCCGGACAAAGGCTTCTTGCTGATTTGGAGGCATATACACTTTGTCGATAAAAAGTTTTGCGGGATCAGCCCGCGAGAAAAAGGCTAACTTCCCGACTCGTCTCGCGGCTTTCAAAGCAGCAATTTGAGGTTGCCGCGCCTCTCGTACTCTCTTTGGCATATCTTCGGATATATACATGGTTGTTCCTTTTAAGTTTTTAGCATGTTGCTGCACTAACACTCTATCCGCGTACCTCACGAAACGGGCTTTGATGGCTCTTGGTCTCCCTCCTGTGAACGTTCGTTACTCACGCCCTCTATGTCAGAAAGGTACGGAATAATACATTTCACGAAGAAACGCTCAAACCAGCTTGCCGTCATGGCGAATTTAACGTATATTTCCTACTTAGTTGTAGGATTGTTTCTAATTTATATGTCATTTCGAGAAATATCACATTCAGAAGCATCGGTTGAACCAAAATTGAAGTCCAAATTGTCTCAATTCGCCGCTCCAACCCTGACTGTAATGTACTGGTGAGTTAGCGCTTTTGTGAACAAGTCATTTTGCCAGTCACATGACATGATTTTCAATAGATGGGTATTCCATTCCATGCCATGGCCATGGGAGTATGAAGGGAAAATTGAAAGCCTTTATCATATTTATGTGGCGGTAGTTCAGAAGTCTATCCAAACTGTGACCCGAAACTCTGGCGTGGAGGAACCCTACTAAAACATACACAAAATGAAGTAAATAAATATTCATCAAATGTCCAAATAAAGGTCATGATTTAAAAGTTGATAGAGTCTATCTAGATCTATGTTGCCTGTTTCGTGTCGATTTTTAAATCTTTTTCTGAGTATTTTTCCTAAAAACGAAGACTTATAATAGGTCTAGACCTAGATCTATGCACTTTCTCACAGGATTCACGGCAAACTGCAGCACAATACAATCGCATACCGTACCGATGGTGGGGTGTGGGCGCGCGTGTGTGTTCAGTTAGCGACCGTAAACTAAGATTACCAGATTACAGCCGCTAACTAGGTCTAAAGCTGAACGCATGTGCACGCCCGCACGCGCACATAGACAGAAATAACTGTCTGATATGGGTCATTTCTTTAATAAAACTGACATTTGTTGACATTCTCCAATACAGACGGTAACCCAGATGACTCGCACCGGGGGGATAGATTGAGCCGATTCGGAACATCTTTTCGTTCCCCACATTTTCTGGCGCTAGTGTAGTTCCCTATCCATTTTTTTTAGCAGTTTAATATCCATTCTTAGCAAAGGTATTTTAGCCCAATTGTTTACTAATTTTAATCATAATAATATATTGCATTTTCCACCTGAATGTGGATCACATCTGACATCGGGAAACCTTCGTTAAGGGCTTTGATGTCGACGTCGTCGCTCAGTACCGTCTCTACGCTATATAGACCGAATTTTCTGTCTCTTTCGTTCGTTAGCCTCTTATTGGGGTAGGGTCGGCCGGCTCTCTCTTTAGAGACGGAAACCGTCTATACACATTCCCTTGATAACGCCACGGCCATTTCAGGTCGTAGCGTTTTGCCCCCAAAATCCCCCAAAATGTCATTTTACCTCGTGCATGTTATATTGTAAATTAGGCCTAGGCTATAATAAATCAGTTCCACTTACCAACTTGACTGAAATAATCAGTTTAATAGTCCCTTTTTAGGAATTTATGGGTCAAAATCGAAATCCATGTTGAAAAAGATTTTCAAAATGGATTTCGATTTTGACCCATAATTTCTAAAAAGGGACTATTAAACTGATTATTTCAGTCAAGTTGTTAAGTGGAACCGATGTATTATAGCCTAGGCCTAATTTACATGTGGATATGCACGAGGTAAAATGACATTTTGGGGGATTTTGGGGGCAAAACGCTACGACCTGAAATGGCCGTGGCGTTATCAAGGGAATGTGTATAGACGGTTTCCGTCTCTAAAGAGAGAGCCGACCCTACCCCAATAAGAGGCTAACGAACGAAAGAGACGGAAAATTCGGTCTATACGCTATACAGACCTGCACCTCAAACTGAAGCTATCAGTATGAAATTATGCAGACTTCTCGTATGGTTTATGGTATCGCGCATGCATTCGAACTAGAAATCTATGACATGACCCGGCAGATACAAATGTATATTTCTGGGTCAACCTACCAAAACATAGCCAATGGCCAATCAGAGCACTTGTTTCATATTGGATTTACGAATATTCATATATTACTGGGTCAAGCCGGGCTGACTCGTACATACATGTAGCTATTGGACGTTCAAAAAGAAAAAAATGAATATTTATCAACTAAAACCAAGATGGATGACAACAAATCATGTTGACTACGAGACTTTCTCGGATTAATCATTAATTTAGGATCTAAATGAGCAAGCTATCGTAAGTCAAATATGTTATTTTTTATTTTTAATATAATTATTGTAATGTTGTAAAGTTTTTGGCAATTAAATGCTCAAAAAAATTCATGGCTGGGATTATTTTGTCATTTGGAGTTGTTGTAGACCATGTTTGTTGATATTTAGTGCCTTTTCATGACTTTGAAATTAATGATATTGGTCTAAGAGAAGAGGCAAAACATGCAGGCCGCCATCTTAGATTATAATGCATGCATTATAATCCAAGATGGCAGCCCCCATGATTTGCCTCTTCTCTTGGACCAATATTATTAATTTCAAAGTCATGAAAAGGCACTAAAAAGACTAAATATCAACAAACATGGTCTAGATTCTACAACAACTCCAAAATTTTCGGCATTAAAAAAAACAAAACAAAAAAAAACAAAATTCTGCCGATTTTTTTCTGATCATTTTTATTGATCGGCGATCAGAAATTATCATCCGATCACCCCTGATTGGCTAAAGATCGGCCCCCGATCCAATAAATAAACTGATAAATAAACAACATAATTCTATCAACAATTTTTCTCGTATTACAGCATTTCCTGAGGGTATCGGCAGGTGTTTGAGGAGTACGCTACCCGTCTTCGTCAGCGTTACCCCGACCTTCGCATCGAAGGAAACAACTTCCCTGCCCACCCCTTACGCCGCTACGTCGCCTCATTCCTTGCCATGGCTAAGATAGTCCTGATCGGCCTGGTTGCCTGCGGTTACGACCCATTCCCTATGTTCAACATGGAGACACATCCTGTCTGGAGTTGGGCAATTCAAAACAAAGTGAGTACATGGAATTATTGATAAGAGTTCCAACATATATGCACTTGCAACAATTATTTTGTCAAAGACATAGGATTAGGGTTTTGAATTAAGCTTAAGGTTAGGATAAGGGTATGGTACTTTTTCTTCCGTTGAAGTGCAGGCCGCCATGTTGTTGGTCTATCTTCGTACTTTGAGGTATAGATTGTAGGTATAGATTACCGAAATGCTAACATCATATTCGCTCGTTGTCAAGGTTACTGGTTCCAAACAACAGAGCCTGCATATGAGGTTCACTGCAAAACCATTCAAACTATGGGCTGGAGCAGGGCTAATTTAATACTTTGGGCTGCCCTGTTGTGAGCACGACGCCATTACTTAGCACATAATTCTCTGGAATCAGCAACTTTGACAACTTGGCCTCTATCAGATCACCTTTTTGTACTCTATAGTGTTGGTCCATATTGATGTTTAGAATTTGGTTACCGGTAGTTATTGACGGATAATTTGTAGCAGTTGTCGCTGGCACATGTGTTGTACAAATTTACATCAGGTAGTACATACATGTATGTAAGGTTAGTTTTAGAAAATATACGGTTTAAGCACTACGATTTGTTTTCAAGCCTTCAGTCTGTGTCATAAAATTCCACAATCACATTAATTTTCGAATTTAATATTCTTATACATCAAGGAAATTCATCTAGTAGTATCAAACATTCTTAAATATATTTGTTCAATTTTTAATCCTTATTCTTAAATTCAGCTGTCATCTGTATGTTTCTGTCTCTGTGATATTTCTACTTTTCACCAAAAAGCAACTTTTTCATAATGGCTGTTGGCCTTAAACCCTTACCGATCATTACTTTCATACTTTTATATTTCTATTTGTCTAATTCCTTTCTCCAACAACATCCTGCATATCTGTATATATAACTTCTCTACTTTTTACAAAAGGAACTTATTATAATATTTGGATTCCCATTTAAGTGTCGGCTTCGTCTAAGGTACAATTTTCAAGACCTTTGTTTGTGTATTGCAATGATTTTATCTATTTTGTGTTTGTCTTTCTTCTCACAGATCTATGCATGTATGATGCTGTTCTTCATAAGTAATGCCATTGAAGGACAGTTGCTTTCTACCGGGGCCTTTGAAGTTACATTTAATGGTAATCTGCCTATTCTCTCTTTTTAAGTTTTAACAAATTGTGTCTGGGTTAAAAGAAAGAAGAGCCACCAGTAATAACGTTGAGACCTGTTCATGTACCCATAAGTTTTTGTTTATTTGTTTTTAAATCATTTACCCATGCAGAAGTATACATATGATGCACAGGTTTGAGTGCGTCGGTAGGGATTGTGTGCACAGGGTACCTTTGAATGGTTTTAGACCAAATTCAAAGGTACCGCATGCACACAATTCCATCGACCCCCCAATTAAACCTGTAAAATAATTACATGGTAATTGACCAATCAGATTGCAGGGATTCTTCTACCCATCTTATAATAGACATTACTGTGACTTACCTCCATAAATATTGACTTCTTAGGTATCTTTCAATCATCATGTTAATTTATTCCATGACATCTTAAATCTTTTAAGATTCTTTCCAGACAGAGTTATTATTAAAGCCCCTCTGCACTAGTTTGACATGGAGGGAATTAGACATTCCTGCAGGGTTACTGGCAGGTGGTTATCTCATCAAATCAGCTCTCAATTAACATGAGAAAAAGGGCATCATGGGGGATCAACTGGTCCCGCTTAGCCATTGTTGGCTGTATAGAGGGCGCAATTAGCTATAAGTAGTGCTGTGGGAAAATATCGGTACATGGGATACTGGAACATGGGATACGTTGCTTGAATTATTTCGTGGTGAATCTCGTATGCTGGACCGTTACTCAAAACCGTCTTAAGTATAAGTTTGTGGACATCCCGTTTCAATAGCATGTCCACCAACTTAGACTTTTGACGGTTCGATTAACGGGCCCCTGGCTGTAGCACTTGGGTACTCTTTTATCTAAAGATCTAGTTATCTTATTTCTGTGATCATTGTCTTTCACCCCTAGGTATGCCAATATGGTCAAAGATAGAATCAGGAAAAGTCCCCAAGTTTCCTGAGCTGGTCCAAATTCTTGAAAACACCATGAAACTAAGTTACAGACAGATATAAGTACATTTACCAAGGTGAGTAGAAGTATATATGGCAGTTACCAAAAACAAATATGGTCTGTTGAGAGCCAGAAAGACAGTAAGTATGTGTGAAATAAAATACATGTGCAATGGGTAATGCCCTTTAAAGGTACTATGTCCCTTTTGCAGCCAACCTCAAATGCTGTAGAACTTTTGCAGGAATTATGAATATGTCCTGTATGGCCTATCTCTGAAATTTAAACGTTAACAGTGTCCTCAAATTCAAATAATGCAAGGAAAACCGTTTACTTGCTAGACTTCACTGTCAGACACTATTGAGAGACTGACTGGCTTTTTTTCTTCTTTGGTAATAACATACATGAAACGAGTTGTAAGGGGAGCCTTCCAAAGTTGCGACTGTGCCGCGACGCGTCGGGGCGCAGAGCAGGATATGAGAACAAAGGAGGCGCCTTTATGCGCCCATTAGCGCCTTTTTGCGTCGGATAGGAGAGGACTTCAGTTGGTTGCCAGCTCATTAAAATCTGGCTATTGTTTGGAGTCTCATTGTTACGAAATTACCCCGCCAGGGCGCGCCCCGGTGGCGAATTTTTTTTCCGTACTCGAGAGGGCAAATACCCCATGTGCGCATGCGCGTGGACTTGTGATTTCTCTGCTACTTCCCATACGAAATGTACATGTATTCGCATCTACTGTGCACGATTCGCGTTCTACGAGTAAACGATGGCATAGTAGTCTTCAAACACAGACTCTGATTTGCCAGTTTGACAAAACAATTACGCATATATCGTGCGTAGCAATAGTACTAGTATTCAAGTCTGAGTAGTTGTATGATTCAGACATTTTAGTGCTTACAGAAATGCATCCCAAATTGAATAGCATGGTATAGTAGTCTGCAAGCACAGACGCTAATCGGACAGTTTGACAACATAGTGTCTTGAGTAGTGCTTTATATTCAAATATGTGTAGTTTTATGATTCAGACCCTACTGGTGCGTGTATTGGAAAGGCATCTCAACTTGCAGAGTGGCATAGTAGTCTGCAAGCACAGACGCTAATCTGACAGTTTGACAAAATAGTGTTATTCAAGTCTGAGTAGTTTTATGATTCAGACCCTACTGGTGCGTGTATTGGAAATGCACCTCAACTTATAGAGTGGCATAGTAGTATGCAAGCACAGACTCTCCTTTGACAGTTTGACAGAATAATATAGGCCTATTGTGTATTGAGTAGTGCTTTTATTCAAGTTTTCGTAGTTTTCTGTGTTGTGCCACTGCTCTCTCACTCTCTCTCTCTCTCTCTCTCTCTCTTTCTCTCTCTCTAGCTCTCCCTCCAGTATGCTCGCACTCTCTGTATTACTTTTATTTATAATCATGGTCTGCTGAGAGCCAGAAGGATGTTAACTCTTAACACAACGAATGCCCTTCTGGCTCTGAACAAACGATAGTAGGCCTGTCAGATTAGCGTCTGTGCTTGCAGACTACTATACCATTCTATACAAGTTGCAATGTATTTCCATATGCACTACTGGGTCTGAATCATACAACTACACAGACTTGAATAAGCACATCGCGACACATACGCATATTGATTTGTCAAACTGGCAAATCAGAGTCTGTGTTTGAAGACTACTATGCCATCGTTTACTCGTAGAACGCGAATCGTGCACAGTACATGCGAATACATGTACATTTCGTATGGGAAGTAGCAGAGAAATCATAAGTCCACGCGCATGCGCACATGGGATTTTTGCTCTCTCGAGTACGGAAAAAAAATTCGCGCCCCGGTGAAGCACTTGACATTTGTGAATGGGAGCTTAAACTTTGAATAGCTTTCGCGCCCGGTCCGGCGCATTAGTTATTCATGTAGTGCCCGCTTGTGTGTCGCTCTCGTCTTGCGAGATTTGACTCTGAAAAGCATTACTTTGGCTACTGATTTGTTTTAATATTATTTTACGTACATGACATTGGTTACAATGTTTGTTTATTTTCCTCTCAAAATCGGAGTTCTGTAGGCGTTAACGTTGGCATGATTGTTCATTTTTTCATCTCCTCCTGTTCTGTTCATGATTGTGTTCTTCTGTTCATGATTGTGTTCAATATACTGTATCAATTTTAATACAAATTGATTTGTTAAAAAAAACAAATTTATTTTATACTTACCCCACTCTCTCTGACATTGTTTTCCTCGTGCATGTTTTGACACTTTAATTGTAATTTTATATTTCCTTATAGCGATGTTATCGCATGTTTCGATTTTCTTGTTTTTTTTTAAAACAATTTTTGTTGCATCTTGTAAACAGTTCTGTCGTATGATCATTATAAATCATATAATTATATCATCCGTCTGTTATTTCAATACATAGATCCTTTGAATCTTCTTAAAATTAGAGAACGTATTTTAAAATCCGTGATGTTGAAAATGATACTTAATCAAGAATGTCATAGTTTCTCCTTAAATTGGATTTAAAAAGCGTTTTATCTGTATTACGATTTTTTAAGCAAATGATATCCGTATTGTCGGGAACATCATCAATATGTTTCGTTAGAAGGAAGACGCTCATTTTCAGAATGTTCTTTCTTTGCAAAACACTAATGTTACGAACAAAATTAAATACACTGTACCCGTATCATCGGGGATATCGCAAAACTCCCAGGGAGATTATCAATTGCAAATCAACATAGTAAATTATGCCTAAATCGTAAGAATAGAGCATGCATTAAAAAAGAAGAGAGTTACCAGGAAATGATGTTTGAAATTTCACCCCAAACATATCTCAAGAAGAAATTAGTTTATCATTCTGTGTCAAAGAATGTTATCGAATATTTCTTTGCGACGAAGGGGGGGGGGGGGTTACATCCGCGGCCAGTTTTAGATCTAGGTCATTGTTAAGAATAACTAAAATGCGTATATATTGTGCTGAATAGGGGCCACATGTTATCGAAAGAGCGTAGTACGTTCTAGAACAAATACAAGCCATGGCAATTCGTTGAATTGCTTCTCGTAACAGAACTGTCTCACTGTCTAAATAAGGATCCATCCGGGGGATCCATCACAGTGGCGGATCCAGGGGGGGGGGCCGAAACGGCCGCGGCCCCCCCTATTGGCGGCGCAAAAAAAAGGAAGAAAAAAGAGGAAGAAAAGAAGAGGAAAAAAAGGAGAAGAGAAAATAAAGGAGAAGGGAAAAGAAAAAGGAAGAGAAGAGAAAAGAGAAAAGAAAAGACAAAGAAGAAAGCCCAACTCCCCCCCCCCCCCCTCCCCCTCCCTCCCACTCCGGGGTCGGAGGGACCGAATATGTGTTCCCAAAATTTCCGATAAAGAGTTACTTTTCACGCAACAAAGTCCGGCCCGTAATACACAAAAATCCGGCCCGTACTGACTTACACCGGAGATAGAGGGGTGCTTTCAAAGAGAGGGAACATACATGTGCGTACCCTATAGTAAGTGGGTGGGGGGGGGGGGGGATTCGGTGAGAAAGGGGGAAAGACAAGGAAATGGCGCTAAGTGACAGTAACGACGAATAAGGGAGAACTGTAATCGGGAGATTTGGGGTCATTCCAGAAGGTTTGGCAAACGTTATTGAATAGAGGGGGCCGGGCCGGCCGCATAAAATCTCGAGCCGCGGATTCAAAGTTAAACGTAAAAAACAGCCCCCTGCGCTACAAAGGTCATCACTCTTTAGTGAGAAATTTGAAAAGGGCACAATATTTTGGATGTCTTTCAAATAGAAGCTATATACTCAACAGTCAAATTTTAAATTAACGGTTGGGCCGCTTCATGACTCTTATTTTGCCCTTCATTTGGATTCAGCTCATACCAACTCGCTCGTGTTTGTATTTGAACTCATGTTGGTAGTAATCATGGACAGGGGCGGCAATCCTGGGCCCGATAGGGAGAAACGTCCCCCAGGAAATTTAGAAATATAGCTAGAAAGAAATATAGCGGAATTTTCTAGAATGCATAATTTCAACATTGCAAAATCTTGCTTGGTTGCTACACCCCGGCCCTCGCCCGATAACACAAAACTATGATATGACGCTCCCGGCCGTGATTTATCCATGGTTAGTGTAATAGATCTTTTCTCCCTTTCATTTCTACTAACCTAATTGTGTGCTATCACAATCATGATTGGTTTATTTTCCATTTAAAGCAGGCGCGTAGCCAGGGGCGGTAGGGGCAGGAAGAGGACATAGGACGAAAAAGGAGCAGACAAAGAAAAAAAAATTCTGACAAGTCGAGTACGGTACAACGAATCGTCTTTTTTCTCTAATAATTTAATGTAATGTCAAAACTTCCGCGCTTCGTTCGGGAGGGGGGCAACTGAAATCCGACAAGGAATGGTAAAACGAATCGTCTTCTTTGTCTAATAAATTAATGAAACGTCAGAAGTTTACGCGCTACGCGCGGGAGGGGGAAAACTGAATTCAGACAAGGATTAAGAGTCGAGAATGGTACAAAGAATCGTCTCCTTTCCCCTTATAATTTAATGAAACGACAAAGCTTCCGCGCTTCGCGCGGGAGGGGGGGGGGAACTCAATTCAGACAAGAATTAAGAGTTACGAATCGTCTTCTTTCTCTAATAAGTTAATGAAACGTCAAAGCTTCTGCGCTTCGCGCGAGAGGGGAAGGGGGGGGGCACTCAATTCAGACAAGGATATATAGTCGGGAACGGTACAAAGAATCGTCTTCTTTCTCTAATAATTTAATGAAACGTCAAAGCTTCCGCGGTTCGCGCGGAAGGGGGGGGGGGGAACTCAATTCAGAGAAGGATTAAGAGTCGAAAATGGAACAACGAATCATCGTTCTCTAATAATTTCATTAAACTATGAAAGGCCAAAGTTTCCGTGCTTCGCGCGGGAGGCGGGGGGCTGAATTCAGTCAAGTAATAAGAGTCGAGAATGGTACAACAAATCTTCTTTCTCTAATAATTAATGAAACGTCAAAGCTTCCGCGCTTCGCGTGGGAGGGGGAAAACTGATTTCAAACAAGAATTAAGAGACGAGAATAGTACAACGATTCGTCTTCTTCCTCTAATAA